GTCGACTATTAAATCAGTCGTCGACGATTTTGATAGTTGTGACTAGTCGACTAATCGTGGCTAACTGATATCTAATGAGTTTTAAAAATCCAATAAAAGCAAATTTTTCAGAAAGGGAAAACATTCCATAAAACAAACATAAAAAGATTGTTGTTGCCTTGCATCCACTATCGACTATCTTTCTCTCATCTAAAGTCAGGTTGTGGTGGGTCTATGCTAAGCAAGGTTTTCCAAATGTCTATCTTCCCAGCCACATTCCAGGTCCTCTTCAGTTTCCTAAGCCAGAATTCCTCTAGATTTCTGAGCTCCTCGCCCTGTCTCTAAGGCCGAGAAACTCATATTCATGACCTTACTCATTACCCAGAGTTCATGGTCATAGATTGACTGATAAAATCAAAAGCTTTGCTTTTGTCTCACTTCTCTCTTCACAACGACAGTCTGGCACAATATCTACATAACCCATGACGCCATACCAATCCACCTGTCCAAGTAAACCTTCCCATCACTTGTGAATAAGATATCAAATTATATTAACTCCCTTAACTCTGAGTGGGCCCTTTTTAGGCTTTGCCTGACTGAGCCGCACAGTTTATAGTCCAGCTCTGCCTTAAGCTTCCTCCCTTCCTCCCTGGTCAGAGGGCCCGGTGGCGCCAGTGTCCAGCAGCCTCGCCTCGGTCAGTGCGCCCAAGGGCAGTTGTGGCTACATTGTAGCTTGCAATCACCAGTGTGTGAATGGTAGGGGTGGGGGAAAAAATCGATACTGTGTAGTATCGTGATATTTTGTTTGCTAATAATGTATCGATACAGGGACAACAGAAATCGATATTTTGTTACAAAAATAGTTTTTGTGGAATGGAACATGCTCTGACTTCAGAGCATGTTGATCAGCTCCTTTTTCTGAGCAAGAATCCTGACATTCCTTCAAATGTGTTTAACTTGTTTTTTGGCAGCAATAAACATGACAGTTTACTTATTTTAATTTAAGACATGTTTTATTTTAATTAAGTTTAAAACTTTTTTTATTTAATGTAAAATGATATTTTGTTTTAATTTAATGGTAAATAATTTACTTTCAAATTCTTCAGTTGCTGAATGGGCTGCATAGTTTTCATAAATTGCATAGTTCAGAATAGCTATAATTGTACCAGATGGTTGCATTCAGTTAAGTTGGACTAGACTGTAATACAAACCGTTCAGTTTGTCAACAATAAAACTGACTAAAATGAGAGAAAGACTGAGTGCGAGACTTTGATATTAGAGAAAATGAATATTGATAAAGTTTACCTTTATGTACAGAATCGGAATATCGCAAAATATTTTAAAAAATTGCAATAATATCGTATCGTGGGATGTATGGTGATTCCCACCTCTAGTGAATGGGTGGATGACTGAATGTAGTGCAAAGCGCTTTGGGGTCCACAGGGACTAAGTAAAGCACTATACAAATACAGGCCATTTACCATTTAGCATCTTTTCTGGCTTCAAATAGGCTGGACATTATAGCACATAAGTTGATTTAAGTGTATATTCTGTCTTTTTATGTGGATAGAATAATTAAGAAAGAGTATGTCCAGATTCTTTAACTTCACCTCAAAACAACAGCAAGGCGGTTGAAAATTGCACAACTTGGTGTTCCAGCAGGACAACAATCCCAAACGCACGTCAAATGTGGTTTTGGAATCACTAAAGTAGGCTGTTTTAGAGCTTCCCAAAGCTCGGACTTCAACTCTGTTGAAAATTTGTGGTCTTTGTTTACAAGCTGGTTCTCTGCCATGAAAAAAAGCAAATTAAATAAAACGCTACCAATTCTTCCAAGACAAGTGGTCCAGCCACAATTATGTCAGAAGCTTGTTAGTGGCTGCTGAAAGTGTCTGGTTGAAGTGGAGCTTGTTAAGAGACATTTAACACCAGATTTGTGTTTTTAAGTAATCTCTAAGATGGTGAACATCTTTACTGAAATATAGTCTGACCAATGATAGGTTTCCACAAATTACAGTTTTAACTGTAAGTGTACTTGGAATTATTTTTTACCAGTTGAACAATGCAGTATTGTCTTTGCTCAAGTTTGATTGGAACTCTGAGAATGAGTTTGAGATAAACAAATGCTAAACTCTCATTTGTACAAAGAAGTAACAGAAGAAAATGTCTGCAGGGAACATAAGTGAAACCAGCTGGAACTTGTCATTACAGTACGATCTGGAAATAGTTTTTCCACCTTTGCTTTTCACTCAGCATAATAAGAATCATTCTGTTTTTCCAGTACAAACACAGAAAATGAGTCGAATTGAGGGGGACGGGGCTGCATGTGTGAACAGTTATCAAATGTCTACCATTCATGAATATGATGCTGAATAACTAGTTATGCATTCTTGAACTTTGACAAGTGTAAATGTGTAAATGAATTTCTTCGATCTGTAGTAGAACATTAAAGGGCATTGTTTGTCTCCATTCATCATGAAGAGTGTCCAGGAAAGAGTCTGACCTCTTTCTACAAACCAGATGCTCTCCTGATTTATGGTGTCAGTAATAGCGTAATGACATAAGCAACATGACCTGATATCACCCATAGTTAGGAATTCAATTTCATATTGCCCAGCTGTTTAAAAATGTGCCCGAAGCAGATTTATTTTACCTTTGGAACTGTTAAGCTGTCCTAATGCCACATAAAGGTATCCTCAACCACTTGTCCAAAAGCCGCAGGTGCATTACTAAATTGCAAATGTGTTGGGGCACATAATGCAGACTTTGCGTCATTAGCTAGTGCTGCGTATTGTCACTGCAGTTTGAAAAGGTTACTGTATGGGATATGGGATTTGTTATAAAGAACAACAGGTAAGAAAAGAAATGCTTCAAATGAAAGGATCACGTAGAGCTGGTGCTTTGTCATGGCCTTTTTGTCCTGGTCTTTTTCCCCCCTGGATATGATGATAATTGTTTGCACTGATTTCAAGGTAGATACTTGGAAATACTATGAAGTGTCATTTCATAATGGACATCATTCACCATTAACAGATGCTGGCTTTTAAACTGTGTGCTGATAACAAACCTGATGCTCGCTCTTCTCTTTAGCCTGGAGACAGAGCATCGATGATTCCCATAATGCATCTCGAAGTTCTGATAGGTCACTCCACAGCACAGTTCCATTTTGCCTGGGTCCCTTTTCAACTTTGTTGTACAAGAAATTGTGTATATAGAGCAATTTCTGTCTACGTTTCACAGATTTAAAATGGATTGATCCATCATCTTAATACTTTTATAATTCTGGTAATATAATACAATTATGATAATTCAGATCAGAAGCCTTTAGCCCATCCAGCTGCCATGGCTTGATTGTAGCAGTTTTGCTGAGTCATTTAGGGGATGTTGACAGATGGTCCAAGTGGAGTGATCTTGAGGCCCTCCCTCCCACAGCTCAGCACTGCACGTGCCAAAGGCCCAGCTCACTTGAATAATTTATAACACCTATTTATACAGCCAGTGTAACCGACCCAGTCCACTGACACGTCTCTCTGTGTGCGTTTGTTCATGCGTGTGTTCTCTGCAGTACAGTATCACTTCATATTCCTGTCACAATGCACAGTGGTGTTTTTGTGTAGCCTATTTAATGAAAATGTTTTAGATGACGTCTAGATAACTAAGTGTAATCTTCACGTGCTTTATCCAAGGTGCACCCTCTGAAACTGACACTAAATGTATTTATTCACTTTGGCTGTCTCTCGCTTGGCTTGTAGCCAACTCGCAACCAGCGTGGCTTCTTCACCTGTCCTTCCTGCACCTTTCTGCACAGTGTATAGCTACTCTTGTAATAATCTAGTCCGTTTACTGCTCTGGCGACCAGGATTACTGATTTGGAGGCCCAGCTCTGCACTATTGCGAAAAACTCACAGCCAGGCTCCTGTATTCAGTGCGACAGTTGTTAGCATAGCCACCATTAACTCTCACCCCAGCAGATTGTCCCAAGCAGCCAGGAAAGCATGATAGCTGTGTGACTGTGAGGAGGGAGCATAGCTCTAGACATAAAGATCTGGATGGCCTCTAATTACCTGCTGCTAAATTCAGATAAAACTTAGGGCATTGTATTAAGCCCTTAAAATCTTAGAAATATGGTATCTAACCAGTTTCTTACTCTGGATGGCATTACCTTGGCCTCCAGTAACACTGAGGAATGATGGAGTTGTTTTTTTTTTTACCAGAATATGTTTCATTGTGCATATTAAGCAAATATGCAGGGCTGCTGTCTTTCTTTTCTTTTTTTTCTTTTTTTTGCAATATCTCTAAAAGTGGAACTATCCTGTCTCAGAGTGACACTGAAATACTAGTTCAAGCATTTGTTACTTCTAGGCTGAGCCAATGTAATTCATTATTATCAGGATGTCCTAAAAATTCCATGAAAAGCTTTCCGTTGAAATGAAATACTGTAGCGAGAGTACTAACAGGGACTAGAAAGAGAACATATTGGCTTCTCCCACTGTCTTCTCTTCATTGGCTCCTCCTTACC